GCAAATGTTTTAGAGGAATCATATCTGGAATGCAGACATACAGGTCAGATGTTCTCAGAAATGCAAGTAATGGTTACAATGGGAAGAAGAAAATTATGTCTAAGTTTAAAAATGCAAGAGAGGTTGTATGTCCCAATGGCTATTTAATTTAACAGACCTTCCTCCAACAGGGTTTGCAGCTGCAATGACAGAGCAGCGTGCTTGGAGAGAAGTGACAATCCCAGCTTTTGATATGCTAATACTTTGCTGCTCCATTGCTTCATGAATACTCACCCTAATTGCAGATGAAAGTGTTAGTGCTCAAATCCTCAACATAAATGGGGAAGGGCGTGAGTCAGCTTTCATAATTGGAAGATTGACATACGCAGTAGCATTTCAGTACCTATCCTGATCATTCATTTTGTCAAATTCATCAATAAGACATATTCCTTTGTCAGCTAGAACAAGCGCTCCTCCTTCAAGAGTCCACTCCCTTGTAACAGGATCCTTGTGGACAGCTGCTGTGAGCCCCACAGCAGATGCTCCTTTACCAGTAGTATACACAGCCCTTTGCCCAGTCTTCTCAACATACCTTTTTAGAGGAAAATTGAATAATTAAATAGATCTTCACTGTGAAAAAATTGGATACACTTTTATGTGAATGATAGTATCTCTTACTTAAGAAACTGTGATTTCGCCGTGCCAGGATCACCTAAGAGAAGTACATTTATATCCCCTCTTAGCCTGTGTTTTCCCTCAACATTTTTCTCTTGGCCTCCAAACATGGCAAGAGCTATTGCAGTCTTTATGTCCTCGTGACCATAGATTGATGGCGCAATTGACTTGATAAGCTGCATTCATCAAACTTATAGTTATTTCATGGTAATACAAAGAGGTACGTAGTTTAGAAACTTTAGAATGAGGGTTTTGGTAACATACCCTTTCTCCTATTCTAGGGTCTTTTGACAACTTTTCAATCTCTTCTTTGTCTTCCTGAGTAAGTTTGTAAGCAGAAAATAGGTCTTGCTTCTTAGTGATATAATTTGCTTCAACCACAGTGGCAAATACAGGAAACCCGTTCTTTGTATTCAAAGACAAGTCAAAATTATTTGAATAAATGCCAGTGACCTCCTGGAATATATCAAATAGAAAAGAAAACAGAATATGAGCGAGTAATTATTCACTAAAACAAAGTAAAAAAGAGCAAGACAAAGATGAGGATCCTACAATCTCTTCCCCTGGACGAGCACAATCAATTAGATCATTCAATAGTATCACTTCCTTGTATCTTGGAAGCCGACCTGCGGGGACAATTCCAGGGCTCTCTTGGAGTGTAAGCTTTTGATAGTTCCTGTATATTGTCTGAAGCAAGAAATGAATATATACAAGGTTCAATTTGTGTTTCACTTATACTCTTTGTCTTTGCTAAGAAAAGGGATGGAAACAGGGGGAAGAAAAGGAAAGGCTAATTTAGACCAACATTTTTATATAGATGTTGAACCCAGAACAAAAACCTTAACTCAACTACGTCCTCCAACAGCTGTTCAACCTACTTCAAGTGCAATACTAACTATAAAATTCCATAACATTAAAAAACAACTGAAAGCAGATGTGAATTTGTAAAACTTCACCTGCTCAATATTGACACTGAATGGTCCTTTTGATTGGCATTCAGGGCAAGAACCAACTTTGACTTCAGAATAAGAATTCTGAAAGAATGGCCCCAAGATTGCTCCACATTTATTGCAATCATACTTTACTTGCTGCAACTGGGGAAACACCCCAGAGCGCCGGGTCACAACCCCTCCAATACGAATCATGGTATTCAAATGGACCTGCCTGCACATCATTAGAGGATGAAAACGTCACCACAAAGGAAAAGGCAAGGAAAGGTTTCACCAAACAATGAAATCCCCAGCATACCTAATGTTGCGAATCTGATCGTAAACAGGTAAGTTAGTTATCCGGACATAGATCTTTTGATGGATACGTTTGTAATTGGGGTGTAAAGTAAACACAACATTCTTGGCAACATCTTCCATAACTTCAAGGACAGACTGGGGGGCATCAGCCAACCAAATGGCAATATTGGGATGAACATGGATGAATTGCTTGTAATCAATCTCCAGACTACACTTATTGGCTGCAAAATGCAACAGTAAATTCATTCAAATCCAAAATCCAAGGCACTATTGGCTGCAAAATGCAACAGTAAATTCATTCAAAATCCAAAATCACAAACAATGGGGTAAAAAGTAGAACAGTTAATAGACCATAACAGTCATGAAAGAAGCTACGCATTTACCTAACACCATCTCATTAATGAGGCGCACACATTCGATATCACTGTGATCCTTCTTCACATAGGTGAGTAAAAACTCTTTGAATTTTCTGCCTATGAATCTTCGCACTTCGTCTCTAGTAACCCACTCTCTAAGTGTTCCCTGAACACAATACATATTAAAGTCTTCGTCTTCATCATCCTACACATGAAACCCACAACCGGTGATAAGAATTTGACATACAAGAAAAGGGTTTGCAACGCAAGTTAAGGATGATTTGTATAACTAAACCTCATCACCGTCAACATCAGTCTCTCTGGAGTGTTCGGGCTGTGACTGTGATCTTCCGGGTGAACTCTGCATTCCGTCTGTATCATCGTAGCTTCTCGGAGGCCTGAAATCTGCCCTTGCCCTCTTCGAAGGCCGATAGCTATCATCATCAGTATCTGCAACCACAATGCCAACATACTCTCAACATTTCACCAACACCACACCAACATCAAAAACCTAATCTGAATTGTTACATTAAATTCAGAGAAACAAAATTTACTCACCTTGGTCATGGAGAAGATGGGGGAGCTTGCGGGAGGTGTGGACACCGTCGCGGGTATCAAGCTCGACTTCCGCGGCCCGGCGGTCGGCCATGATCTGATCCAAATCCCTCTCGTCCTCAACGGAATCATCCAGCCCCACCGACTCGTATTGATCGTGCCCATCCATTCTCCGATAATCACTAATTAATCATCCACAACAATCATTTCTCGAAAATCAAAACTACGAAAATAAAATAAGTTGAAAAACATCATGCTTTTTAGAGAGAGAGGAAACTGAAGTACTGACTCCAAGAAATTGTCGTGGAAGAGATCCTCTCCCTCCTCCTCTTCAAGGAGGGGGTCGTCGTCAGGTTCATCTCGGACGATTTCGGGGTCGACGGCGGCCTCGTCGTCGGAAGAGGAGGATGAGAAGTTCTCGGAGGTGCGGCTCGTGTGCGGCAGCTGGTCGGTGTTGAACCCGACCGACGTCGGCGAATCCGGCGTCGACGGATGATTATCTGCCATTTCCTTAAATTAAAGTTCTTTTCTTTCTCTCTCACGCTCTGTGATTCTCTCTCTCTCTCTCTCTATGCGGCTGGAATTGCAATTCAGAAATTGGAATTCCGCTGCCCTTAGGGCTCACACGGGACGAGGCTTCTGCTTTTTGGCGGGAACCTTTCCCGCCATTTTGGCTCGCGTGGGCTGCCACGTCGCATGATGAATCGACCTCATTTTGGGCTTTCAGAATTCAGTTGAAACCCCATGGTCTGGACCTGGGCTTTGGATTCGGAAACGCAAATTCTTGGCGGGCTTGGATCAACCCAAATTATAAATCAACTGAAAACTAGTCAAGACACAACAACTTGTTATCCGCGCATCACGTCTATGTAAAAGGAAACTTGTACATGTCATTGTATTGTCGATACAAAATGCTATGGTATATTCGTACCATGAAAGTCTTTTAAAGATAAAAGAGAGGAAACTGCCGCGGAGATTTTTGTGATGCTTTCCAGCATAAACTGTTTTCAATTTTCTTTCGGCCATCTACGTTGGTAAGCAAAGATATCATCACTACACCTTAAAGTATAAACTCGTTGTCCGCCTTATAACAAGGCTTGTGTATTGGGCCACATATTAAAAAAAAAAGTCTCATTGTTAAAACAGCTCTATACATGCTTTTCATTATGTATAACAATATTCGTATTCTGAGTTGTTAAGGGAAGGAGAGAGGGTTCGAGATGTAGTGAGTTAAAAAGTAAGATCACAATCTAGCACTTGCAACTAAACTTTATTCCTTTTTAAATATTAATTGTTTTTACTCAACCATGAAATAAATATTAGGGTTAAGCACGGTTAAGCACCCAACCTTCTGGAGTGATTCCAAATTAATCTCTCAACCTTTTAAAACTTTAAAATAACTACCTAACATTTGAAAAGTTAGACACCCGTTAGTTTATTGGCATTAAATGATAACTTTACCAACTCTAAGAGATGATGTTTATAGTATTAAATGATGAGGTGAACAAATACTAAAGTTTTTTTTTTTTTTTGGTAACGAAGAAATACTGAACTTGTCTCTAGTAATTGTTGTCTTTGGAGATATAATTCCTCAAATCGGCTTCTTTTAGCAAAGTTAACTCATACATTTGTTTAGCTAAACTGTGTCAATTTGGAGATTCAAAACTCCATAGATGACTTGAGAGTAAAAAATCTATTTAATAATTGTCCACATCATCAATATTTGATAGTTGTTTTAATTTTTTTAAAAGGATAGGACCAATTTTGAATCTTCAGTGAAAATTGAGTAGTTGTCCGAACTTAACCCTAAATATTGTATCGGGCAGGCATGGGTGGCCTCTTTCTAATTGTTGTCTAAGGCCTTAGGTTGAGCCGTCTCAAACAACACACATCAACTAATTTGTGTGTATAGTTTTTACAAACACAAGCCATTTGTTTATCACCTTATTTAAAACGTGTGCATCTAACTTTTGTTACATTTTTTTTTTTTTTTGAGGAAACCTTTATTATATATTGAGTAAGACTAAAGTTGGTTAATTACAAGTATATGGTGCACCCCACTACCAAGGTTGTTGGCAGTAGCGCAACGATCGACTTTGTAGCTGGGTGAAGAAAAAATTAAAGAAGTAAAGCACCACCAACGACTTGACATGCATACGTTACCAGATCTAGCAGTGGCAGTGCGCACTGGATTCTAACCCCAACCTTTATTCCATTCCAAAAAGTATACATTACTAACAGCTTTACAGCGATATTTATACTTGTAAAATTACAAGGCAATAGAAAAAAAAAATTCCCAGAGCCCTAAGCACTTTCCAGCCGTGCTCAAATTTTCTGAAAAGCTGGGCCAATAATAGATGCATGAGATAGCCAAATCAGATACGTTTAACCTGTTTGATGGCAAATAATACGGTTCGATCGATTCATCCTACATGTAATTAATTAGAGAATTATTATAAGTACTCTAAAATACTCATCTTACACTCTTGCCTTTCTTGTTTTCTTTCATAAAAAAGAGTGCAAGATATGTTCCTATTGGAATGCTAATAACAATACTTCTTGTTAATTAATGTAAACAACATAGTAATTATTTTGTGTTGATTTGTCAGAATATTCAGACGCTTCTGTCGAGCATTTCTTGATGCCTTTTGAAGGATAGAAGCTTTTGCAAGCGCATTTGTTTGTGAAACCTGTTAATGAACAAATCCGCAACGTGGTCTATCTCGTCTTCCAGCTTGAAATCCTGTCCTTCCTCTTTGGAATTCTTCACCAGATCGATCACAGACCCGCCATCTTTGACATCGTCAAAGTTCTCATTTTCATCGAACAACGAGTGCCTGAGATCAGGGTACTTATCATCGTCATCGTCCTCCTCCTCATCTTCACCATTGTACCTTCGCATGTAGCTTGAAGTACCAGCTGTATGCGAGTACTCATTGGCAATGACATTGTAGAGAACAAGCGCCTTGTTTTGGTCTCCTTCCTCCGCCTCCTCTTGATCACGGTGATCGTGACCTAATAGGCTGTGGATCTTGTGCGACACAGTGTCCATCAAAACCTTCTTGTTCTTCACCAATGAAAACATTATCAGGCGAGCTTTAGCGGCGCTGGTTTTGCTCTTGATGGCGAGGGACTTGGCTTTGGCTATTGAGCTCAACAATGTGATTATCTGCTTCAAGAAAACAGAAGCCTTATTCTTCATGATTATTTTCTTGCTTAATTAGTCACAATTGCACTGAGTTAGCAAGGAAACCCTATATATTCAAGTGAACGAAACCCTTTGAAGAAATAATATTTAAGGAAATGTGAGATGCTCAAGAGAAAGAATATGGTGGAAGCTTGATTATTTTGCATGAAGGAATACAAGAGCCTTAGGGGGCTTTATATAGAAAGCAAAAAGCTTCTACTTTTTGGTGACGGAGTGGGGTGAAAGTGTAAAGGAAAAAATAAGAAAAATAAATTAGAACAAAATCAGAAACGGAAGCTTCTTGTAGCACTGTACTGTGTGCCACATGGAGTTCATGATCTTTTTACGCAAGTGGAACCATGCATCCTCGTCGTACACGACTTGTGGACAAATGTGGGACGTACGATCGACTTTTTTGGAGAAAAAGCTTGATAACGATGGTTACTTTAGGTGCACAAAACATATGTTAATTAATGGTTGAAGAAGATTATGACCCTGCGATTAGCCAACTAAGTAATGTCATGCTGGTGGATATATAAAGTGGTTCTGAGGATATGAAAATCTCCCAGGTGGGGGTAAATATTTCACTTTGTTAGGGTGCTAAGAAATTAAAGGTAATGAAAAGGAGTTTGGACGGTGAGAGTTAAGTAAAGCGGCCAGTGAAAAGTAATATTCAATGGAGGAAAAAAGTGAAGCTATATATTCGTTGCTCATGCACTAAGTTTTGGAGTTAGGTGCATAAAAAAATGCAATAATGTTATATGAGTTATGTGCATGCTGAATGTGAATGTACTGAAATAATCCTACATATTATAACGCATGTTGCGTTATGCCCATGTATACAAACCAAACTTAACACTTATAAAAACCACCAGGGAGTGGATCAGTAGTTGGGAACGAATTCTAGGCCTGTATTTCACACGGCACATCCTGAATTCAATTCCTGACATTGGTGAATCACCTGATGATGGCTATGGGGAGGCTGAAATGCCTTTGTAAGTTTTTCCGACTCCCAAAATGGTGGATTGCCGCCTTTTAAAAAAAAAAATTTACTTATAAAGAAAAAGTAAATCTTAAATTAATTACCATGATAAAATAATTGAATATGAGTGGTGGCGTTTACAAAGTGAAGTCAATATATATTGATCAATAAGAAATAAAGAATAAATCAATTTTACGATAAACAGCCAGGATCATTTGTCATTGATTTCTCTTTTGAAGGACGATTGTATCACTTGCTATTCTGGCAGAAATTTGATTCTGCACCTTGGGTAATGGTTATGTTGAAATCAACATCAAAGTTTGTGATAGATGAATGATAGGATCAATCGCGCACACACGTATACTAATCTAATCTAATGCACATAATATTTTGCATTTCATGACTTTTATGGGTAAGTTTATGCATTATGCATGGTCTCCTTTCACACGCTGCAGCTATGTCATTAGTACATTGTGAACGTTAGAGTAAAGAAAATATTGAATTATTGTACTTCGAAAGGAATTCGAAGTTCTATTATATACGACATCGGTTCAAAATCAACCATTGTTTGATAGATTGACAAATCACCATCTACTTGTAATGAGTCTAATGACGTATATAAGTTATAATTTAGACTCCTTTATACATAGTATCCCACTTGAGATCATAGCGATGAAAGTTTATATCCCACTTGAGATCATAGCGATGAAAGTTTATTTAAAATTAATTTATCTACATCAACAATATCTAGCTTGATGTAGAACGGATGGCTGAGCGTATCGAAGAGGAGCTCGACAAGCGTAAGTTTGGCAACAAAACTCAGGGAGTGCAGGTCTGGGTTCCGGCGTTAGAATTGGGTGCATAATACATTTTTCGAAAGGAACAACGTAAGGAACATGACTGATCACCAGTTTCGCTTATGACGTAGGGGCGATTTGGCCAATTTTCTTCGTTTACCATCCCAACAGTATTTTAAGTTTTGAGGTTATTTTCGGAACTTTGTTGATTATGTGTTTTGTTTCCTTTTTAAGTTTCCAAACCCTACTAGGGTTTTTTGGTCCTTTTGGTCCCTTTTCTTACTTCTGGAGATCTGGACGACAGAATATTTTAAGCCATGACAGATTTCTTAATTTGCAAGGAAAAGAGTACTGAACAAACAATGGAAGCTTTATAGCTGTCTTTCACAAAAGCAAAACACCTAATTACTTTAACTATTTTCATTAAATAAACAACACAAGTTGATATTATTTGCTAAGATAGGGTAGCTCTTTCATAACTTAATTAGTGTTTAAACACTGTGATCTAATAATATTTATTTTCATTTGTAAGTGAGAGAATTATGTTAGATTCATACCAAATGTGAATTTGAACAACATTATTGTTTGCCCATTGTGAGACTTACCCCATTTTTCTGATTTCTTAGTATAGATAATATCTTTTGTTAAAAAAAAAAAATTAAGCATATATAATCACAATTAGGTCATCTCCTAATAGAATATTGCCAAGAAACTAAACCCTAAATGTACCTTCCTAATTGTACTTAATAATACACAATTAAACATAAACCATACGGTCAAAGTTCATTTGCTGAGATTCTTTTTCAATAAATTGAATGGGCATGGTCAAAATGTAAGAGTATATAACTGAATCATTGAGATTGTGCCATTTGTCAGTAATACAGTGGCTAGATTGAAGAATATGGTTGGGATATTTTAGCTATAATAAGATCAAGATAGTATATAACTAAGCTTGTGTAAGAAGATTGTATTAAGCAAAAAGTAATAAAGAAAAGTAGATTTCTTTCTCTCTCTAAAGTCTTCTCTCATCCTCTCTCTTCTCTCTTAAGTTTTCTTTCTTCCTGTGTCTATGTTCTCGACCTATGTATGATATGGTTAACATGGTATCACTCGCTCTCTAAGCTTCGATCGTAAGCTTCTTCGATTCTGGTTTCTTATGCTTCCGCTCTATTCTTTTCATCTTTGTGAATCATTTCTCTGATTTCTGGGTTCTGGTCTTTGCCCATTTCTTTGATTTTTCCTCTGAAAATCTTTGCTCACCAACTGTTTGGTTTTATTCCTCTGAGAGAGTTATCACTATGGTTACTGCAACTCAACTGCAAATCTTGCAATCCTCAATTATTGGGTTGAATTCCTCTGTTTCAACTTCGGTTTCGGTTAAATTGGATGATTCCAACTACCTTCAATGGCATTTTCAAATGAAGTTGATGCTTGAAGGCTATGGAATTATGGATTTTGTTGATGGAACAAATCCGTGTCCATCTCAGTTTTCTACTAATTCGGAAGTTACTTCTTCTGGGTCTGGTGCGAGAGTTGAATCAGATTTGTATAAGGTTTGGAAGATGCATGATCGGGCTCTCATGCAACTTATCACTGCTACCTTGTCTTCAATGGCCATTTCTTGTGCAATTGGGAGTAGTAGTGTTAGAGATCTATGGGTTCGTCTTCAAGAACAGTTTTCTACGGTAAGCAAGACCTCTATTTTCCAGTTAAAGTCTGATATTCAAACAATCAAGAAAGGGGCTGATTCTGCCTCCCAATATCTTCAACGCATCAAAGAAACAAGAGACTATCTTGCTGCTGCTAGTGTTACATTTGTAGATGAGGATATTGTGATCTTGGCCTTAAATAGTCTACCTGTAGAATACAATACTTTCCGATGTGTTATTCGTGGCCGAGAAAATGTGATCTCGTTGAAGGAATTTCCTGCCCAGTTACTTGCTGAAGAAGCTACTATTGAAAACAATTCATGTGTTTCCTTTCCTACTGCAATGATGGTAAAGGATCAAGGTTTTAATTTTGGGGCTTCATCATCTTCAGATCAAGGATCTTTCTCAAATGGATTTCACAATTCTAATGGTTTTCATGGGAACTCTGGTCAATCTTCATTCTATAATGGGGGCCACAAGTCAAAATTTAAGGGTAAAGGCAAAGGTACGTATAATCAAGGCCAAAGATTTGGTTCGAATCAGGGACAAAAGTTCTATCATTCTAAGCCTACAGTTCGTGATTTTGCTCCTGGTATACTTGGTAGTCCTTCTCATGTTAACAATGGTACTTCTTTTTCCAATGTCATCTGTCAAATATGTTCTCAACACGGACATTCTGCTGCTACATGTGCGTATAGAAGTGCTAAATATTCTAAGAATTGTCAAATTTGTGACAGAAGTAATCACACGGCCAAGACATGTTTTTACAGAAACAAAGGAAGGAATTCTCCATCACAAATGACTGCTATGAATACTGTTTTTCCTGGTTCAATGCAATCTCAGTATATGAGTGCTATGCCTTCTATGCTGAATATGGGTTCTTTTCACATGCCTCTTATGTCCAATATGCACTCAATGAATATGGTTCCTTCCATGAATGCATCTTCTTCCTATGTTATGCCTACTATGTCTTTTGCACTGTCTAATCTAGTTCCTTCTCAAGTCTGGCTCACTGATTCCGGTGCAACCAATCACATGACGAATGAATTGAGTAATTTGTCCATTGCTTCACCATATTCTCAAAATGACACAGTTCAAACAGCAGCTGGTGAAGGTTTGCAAATTTCTCATATTGGAGATTCCCTTTTAAGGACTTCTCTACAGTCTATAAAATTGAATTCAGTCTTTTATGTTCCAAAGCTATCTCATAATTTGTTGTCAGTTCATCGCATTTGTCTTGACAACAACTGTTGGCTAATTTTTTATGCTTCCTGTTTTTGGATTCAGGACAAAGCCACAGGGAGAATCTTGTTTAAGGGACTCTACAACAATGGATTGTATCCCATTTCTTCATTTCCTGTCATTCCTCATATTCCTCAGAAACAAGCAAATCAAGTTGTTGCTTGTCTTAAACACACTGTCACCTCAAACTTGTGGCACTCTAGACTAGGTCATCCCTCCAATCCTATTGTTTCTCTTATACTTAGGAAATCTAATGTTGCTATTAACAAGGATGTGTCTTCTATAGTTTGTCAAAGTTGTCTAGAAGGCAAATTTAGTAAACTTCCTTTCTTTCCAACTACTTCCAAATCTGTAATACCTTTTCAAGTTGTACATAGTGACCTATGGGGTCCTGCACCTTGTGTATCTGTGGATGGATTCAAATACTATGTCATATTTGTTGACGAATGTATCAGATTTTGCTGGCTGTTTCCTTTGCGAAATAAATCAGA